AGTACTGAGTATACTTTCAACAATAATATCATTTCTCTTTGTATTGAATTAAAGAGAGAGGATTGGGTGTAGACCTCTTCCTCTTCGAATGTTGGGATGCCCACTGTAGTGAGGGTGGTCTTGATATTCGTCTTTCAATACGAGGACACGCCTCCATCCACCTCTCCCTCTTTAACTTTATCCCGCAACCCTTGTCACCTAAAAACCTCGGTCCCGCACCGAGTGCATTTCAAATTATTTTCACAACAAAAACTTGAATGGTCGTGGAGTGGTTAGGCGTAGGCTTTCTCCTATCCCGAGTGCTGACGTTTACCGTAGGGTTCTCTGTCGCAAAGCACTTACCATTAAAACCCAAAAACATCTTTAATAAGAGAATGAAGTTCTCTTTGTGTTGAACTAAAAGAAAGGATTGAGTGTAGTCTTCTTCCTCTCTGAGTGTCAGGATACTCACTGTAGTGTGTGTGGTCTTGACGCTCGTCTTTCAATACAAAGACGCCTCGTTCGCCACATCCTTTTACAACAAAAACTTTGAGATAAAGAATCGGGTACTACCCGTAGGGGTTACTATCCGAGGACATGTCTCGCCCCTAAAAAAAAACAATCAAATCAATCAAACGTGACTTCTTGCCTCGCGTGGCGAAAACTAATCAATCATTTCAAAAAGGATATGTTACGTCCGTTCTACCGCAAACAGGTAATGCCTAAGTCTCCAACGAGCGAGCAGCGAAACACCTAACTGCTAGAATGCGCACGATAGCATCATCCATAAAAAAAACATTAACACACCGTAGGCCGAACTACGGCTGCTCTGATTCTTTACTTCTTTTTGAGTAAAGATACGTAGGCACAAGGGCCACAATCCTTGCCGAGCACATTCCCCCTTATATCTGTAGTTCCCCGAACTACGTCGACTCTGACTTTCTCACATCTATTGAGAATACGTAGGCCTAGGACCGCGAAGTCCTACCGAGTCTGTTCTTTCTCTTTTCTTCCCCGTTCTCTCTTTCCTCCTAACTTTCTTGTTTCTAACCTTTCTTTTACCCTGTGAAACACTTTTATAGCATAATGTTTAAGCAAATAAATTCACATCGACAAACAAAAGGTTCCCATCGAGTACGATGGATGCGAGGGGTGCTAATACCTTCCCCTTGCATAACCGGCTTCCGAACCCGTTCTTGGTTGCGAGACCATCTTATCCATCTCTTTCCTAAGGTTTTCTCGATATTTTCCTTTCCCCTCACGGGATAAATAAAGTTCGGTGGCGACTCTTCTGTCTATCCTTTTTGCCTCCCCGTCGTTGCGCGACGCATTTTTCGAGTAGCGACAACGTGCTCACAATAAGAAGGAGACCGCGCAGTCGAGTTGTCATTCGATGCAGGCTTCATTTTCTTCGGAGCACCTTTTGTCTTTACTGATTGAGAAGACGGTTTCATGTCGGTTGTTTCGGGATAGACAATCTTTCTCAATTGTTCTTTGATGCAGAGTTTCATGTTGTAATCGGCCTTTGAGAATCTCTATTGTATCACTTCCCATTTGGTCAAAATAGAGATATTCGGTTTACCTCCTTCCTTGCAACCATCATCATCAAAACTAAGTCTTTTCTAATGAGGGCAAACTTCGTCCATTCTTATTGGCTCGTTTAGTTTCAACTTTTTAGCAATAACACAAGCACACAGAAGGTCATAGGTTTTCACAATAGTGCAACCATACTTTGCGTTATCGGAACCTACAGTTTCAGCTCGTTTAACCTCGTGAAAAAGATAGTTCAACCTCGGCCAAGACATATTGCCGATCAATTGAGAATAAAGAATGTTGTCTTTAAATTGATGTTCCAATACTGTTATACTCCGACCGAATGTTGTTTGTATCTCATTATATTGATTTTTAATCATGAGATTTACGAAGTCTCAATCTCGACACAAATTCCCCTTGTTATTTTCCAACCAAATTTTCAAACTAGCATGGGCCGACTCAACTTTGTTGGTGGTTGTATTTTCAAGGTATCAGACATTATCAGTTCACGCACAAACTATCTTTTCCTTCACCTGATCAAGAATGGTGCTTTCAACGTATTTCAATAAATTCAAATACTTTTCACACACTTTCCAGAATTGAATGACGAAATCAACATATAATTCTTTTGTGAAAGAATTTAGTATACGATTCCATGCATCCATCATTTTTTCAACAATCACACCTACCTTCGCCAATTTTCCACCTTCGAACTCTACTTGTTTCGCCCCCACCGCGAGTTTAACTCGACTTCTCATATTCTTTATTATGTGATATCGACAAAGTAATGCATTAGAAGAAGGAAATACCTTTGCAACCGCATTCATCAACGCGGTATCGCAGTCGGTAACAAATCGCTTTAGGCATCTCAATCTGGTCCTTCAAAAGTGACTGACACACCTCTAATGCCCATGTAAAATTGTCCTCTTTTTCACACTCGAGAAAAGAAAAACCAGCGGCATATGTCATCTCGGTAGACGTAGCACCAACCATCTCAAATAAAGGAAGTCTATACTTGTTGGTCTTATAGGTAGAATCAATAATGAGCATTGTCGAGAACGTGTTGAACAACTTTATCGAATCCAAATGAGTCTAATAAATATCTCGGACCGTAACTCCATCATCGCAAGTTCTGTACCAGAACACGTAACTATTATCATTTAACAATTTCAACAGTTGTTGCATCTCATTTCTATCTCCTCTAATCGCCTTGTCGGTGCGGTACCGAATGTTATACACTTGCCTTATATTTGATATATTGTCAGGTTCTTTCCGTTTCAATGTGACAAATATATTTTTCGGCTGGGCAAAATTCAAGGTCATGTCACTAATACACGTCTTCTCTTCTGACTTAAGCCGACATACACTAGGATGACCTTGTAACTTTAAGCACAAATCATGGTTATGCAAACCACAAATAATACTAAATTTCCACTTTTTGCTACTCAACATGTAACCACGAAGTTTAAACAAACACTCACATTTTCTACTACCCGTGTCTTCTCTCTTAAATTTCCGAAGAGGAATCTGATATTTTTCGCTTCTTTCACACAAGAAAGTAACAAAAGTGTTCATTCTTTCAGAACCATAATCTGATCTTCCTATAACTACACCAAAACCAAGTTTTGTTGTAGTCCTACAAATTCATGTGAGCATACTTTCACAATCATCAAACTCTTGCTTGTTATTAAAGTCAACGCCAACATCTACCGACTTTACAACAACCCCTTGTACATTCAGAGAAACATCGTTTGAAGAAACTAATTCTTTTGAGATATTGTCGGAGTGTACCATATCTATTTGTAAACAATAAAAAAAATCACAAAGCTGCTGTGAAAAAATATTCCAACATGTTCTTGAGATGCACATCTGAAAGTGTTCATCTTCAACACGTTTCGAAGATACAGCTCCGAAAGCAACGTCACTTTTTTTTCAAAAGTTTGATAATTCATATGCGCAATATAACAGACAAAGTGGAATCTTTATCTGAAATTCGATTTTCTCTTACTCCCTGTGATTTGTTGCACAAAAAAAATTAGAGTTTTGAAGTGAAAATGATATTGATAGTATATGGTTCTTTAAGTCGGTGAAATGAGTGGAAGAAGAAAAGACAACAATGAAAAAGTGATCATGTAGGTTTAAAATATAACATAAACTTCTGAAGCTGTATCTACGGAACATTCTGGCACTCAAACGTTCCGAAGTTACATCTCCAAAAGTTTTCCTAAACTAAATTATTTAGAAGTTTTCTCAAACGTATACCAATAGAAAATGTTTCAGTATATATAACTTCAAAAACAACAAAATTTTGGCAAAAAAAAAGTTGGATCCAATTGTGTATCTCCAAAAGCAGGAAGTATAAAAAGAATTTCATTAGATACCTAAGAAGTCCAAGGGATGAGATAAGAAATTCTTAAAAAAAATCAATTCTTAAAAAAAATCAATAGCATAGTTCAAGATGAAAAGGTATCACCGCCCTATTGACATCCATATGCAAAAACATGTGGCGTCCTTAGTTTTTGATGAGATAAGAAATTCTTAAAAAAAATCAACAGCATAGTTCAAGATGAAAAGGTATCCCCGCCCTATTGACATCCATATGCAAAAACATGTGGCGTCCTTAGTTTTTGATGAGATAAGAAATTCTTAAAAAAAATCAACAGCATAGTTCAAGATGAAAAGGTATCCCCGCCCTATTGACATCCATATGCAAAAACATGTGGCGTCCTTAGTTTTTGCCTTGTGCTACAAAATTAGAGGCCAATCCACCTATCCTCAATATCAATAAGTTTTCATTTTTGGAGTGACAAATGATGAAGAAACAAAACAAGAAAAGTGAGGAACAAAATGTATTATGCATGTGTTGATTTCGTTATAATGCTAAAAACCAAACCCAACAACACCACTCTTCAACTGAATACTTAATGGTAGTAGTTGCTGCTATATTTTCTTTTCTAATTAACACGTATATAATCACAAACTTGCAAACCATTAGAAATTATGCAGTGAACATGTTCCTAGTGAGAAATTAGAGAGGGACGCATAAAAACAATATAGAACATAGTGATCTATCTTATATTAGTTTAATTCATTATTTTACCACCAAATATAAGTATTAGTTGGTGGGTTATTTTTCTTTTTAACGGGAAAAGGGTTTAACTCATAACCTCCATGTCACCATGTCAATCTAATTCGTATGATATTTCTCAAAATCTACTCATCCACCTTCTATTACCAAGTACTTTGTGAGAGTAGACCAAAGTACTAGGGAAGATGAGATTAATACCTGATAAAATAAGCAAGTTTAGCTAAATTCCTTATCCAGGAAATAGCTCTAGAGTTTGAAGAGTATTGACAAATCAAAGAATCTAATGACCTTATTACACTTATAAATAGTACTTGTAACAAGTTTCTTACACCAACAACAACTAAACTTTATATGTACCAAAGTAATTGCAAATGTACTTTTTTCCTCCAACTTTGCAATGCTAGTTTGAAGCTCCTGCACAATGGAAGAAGCAGTGAAATAAAAGCAGTATTATATCAGTCACATGAACATCACTATTTCGTTTCAGTGAGAATTATATGAAGGTCGCAAAACCCCTAAATCAGTTATATTCTTAGTCAGGAAATTTCATGAAAGTGTTGAGTTACTAGCAAAGATTCCAAGAAAAATTATAAAGAAAATTCTCTGGCCACCGTGGAAGAAGAAGAAAAAGAAAAAGCAGTGCAATATGTAAACCACAAAACATGAACTTTTTCAATCATACATAAGACAATATCATGCAAGCACTTCAATGATATTCACTAAGACCTTATAAAAACTTAGCATGGAAGCAAAATTTCTTTTAAAAGTCAAACCTGCAAATTTGATTTAAACTGTAGTATGAATATCTCAATTCAATAAGCATTTAGATCTAAGACTAATATCCAAATCTTGATTTGCTAATATGTGATACCTGATGCTCTAGAAGCAGATATATTGTCTACAGCTCTCACAGAATTCCCTGTATTTGTCTGACCTTTGCTTTCCTCCCTAGAAACTCGCAGCGCCCTTAACTTTGATGAGAGCCTGGTTGAATGTATCAAAGGAGTGCCTTCAACTTCCTCCTCTTGCCTCCCCCTTTCATCTTGAGCATCTTGTTCGGATGCACTAATGGAATCCTCATCTTCACTTGAGCTATGTTCATTAAAAAGCTTCTTTCCTACCATGGGTTGCACTTTCCGTGGACGACCCCGGCGCTTAACAGTAACCCCCTCTTTTTCATCTGAAAATATTAACCCAGTTAGTCTCTTTACATTAAACATACCAATGCTAGACATCTAAAGTCACATCAAATACTTAGAAATGGAAAGATATCTACTATCATTTAGTGCCATTACTATTATTGTTTAAAGTAAAAAAAGATAAAAAGCAATTTGCGGCTAAACGGAAACATTTAGCTCACTAACACCCGAGTGCACAAACAGACTCAGCAAAAATTAGGTATAAGAGGATAAAGTGAATAACATTGATTGAAAAAATTCATAATTAAGGTTGTAATAAAACATATGCACAGGTATAACAATGTTAAAACCTCAAATAATGATTCTTATCAGTGTATCCACGCATTATTTTTGAAAGAACAACTTCTACTTCCGAGGAGCCAAATTGATGCTAAATTGTCTTGATAATCTAAAGGATTTAGAGATAGCCATAAGCAATTATCAAGTTACATTGCGTATTTCCTATGAGAAGTAATCTACTTTGAATATTATCTCCAGAAGAGAACTTATAATTCACAGGAGTCAAGACAGACAAATACATGACCAGAGAGGTTCAACACAGATAACATAGAGAATTACAACGGAAGAAAACTCTTGAAATAGGAGGTTCATTCAGAAAAAGCAAACAAACCAACAAGAACACCCCAATTTAAAGAATAGAGAAACAAATCATATTTGAACTCATTAGTAAACTAGCATGTCTGCCACCTGCACTGCACATGATATTCACTATCAGTATGCTACAATTATAAAACCACTTTTAAACATTTAATAGTGTCTTTTTTCTGATCTACCCCTCAATAACCAACCATATTTATTTTTTAGAAGCTTGACTATCAACACTAACTGCTTCCTTATTTACTACAGTTAAATAGGGAAACTGTGCAAATCAAGCACTGCTTCCTTATTTGTAAAAGTGCATATATATTGGGGAATTGGGGTTGCATAAACTATATATTTTGGTTAAAGTAGAGACTTAGCAGTTTGTTGCTTATAATGTAAAGTGTCATGCGGTACAGTATAATTATTAAAATAGAGAAGAAATTGCAAAAACGACCTTGAAAGACTTCGTTCTTTGCACACTTTTCCCGCAAAGCCTCAACAAATATGCAATAGGGACGCCAGCCACTGGGATTTTCGTCTTTATTTACATTTTCAGTTCGCCTTTCAACATCCTTCATACTATTTGTAAACAAGCTGATTAAAATGTGCACAAAAGCAAATGTTTTGGAATAGCACTAGCAATGAGAAGCAAACTCACATTTCCAACAAATCTGATCCAGGGAGTTTTGGCACAAAATGGATCACTGCCGCTTCCAGAAAAGACAAATATTTTGGAGCATCTACAAAAGCATACTCAATACCATCCTTGACAAGTTTTAAAATGTCTGACCTGTGCTTAATCCGGGCAGCACCAATAAAAGTTCCAGAAAGCTGAGCAGCCAATTTTTTACATCCCGAGAAAGAGTTTACTGATGAAATATTATGATTTTCAGCATTATCGACAGCAGGCCGGAGATAGGCCTACCAAAAATAAATAGGTGAGAAGTTAGGAAATAAGAGGAGAGTTGAAGGCAGGATATAAAACATATGGATCCTTGTTAGAACAGGTCTGTTATCTCTATGATTACTGGATAATACTTGTATTATTGATCAAACTTTGGGAATAACTTCCCAACTGAGTTGTATTACAAGGGAACTAAAGAAATACAATGAGACAGTAAAGGGAAAGTAACTGATGGTAACTACCCACTAGGAGCTAGGCTAGAGAGTCTAGAATCTTCCAACAAACAAATACTAGTTACCCGAATGTCTACCCTTCTCCTCTCCTACAGTATTTATTCAAATACAACAAACAACTAAACTAGACTGGGCCATTTGTAACGGACCCGCGCCTTACATAAGTATGCCTTATATGCGGCCTACTATTACTGACAATCCCTCAGACAAAGAGGGATGGTGGAAAGACAGACCCTTCATTTCCTATCAACTCAAATTATAAAATAAAAAACCATAAAGGTTTGCAAAGAAATAAGCTCAGTAAATTATTCTTCCAGGAAAAAGAAAAGTGATCCTATTGTATAAAACGAGGAAGAAACCAATATTTCCATAACAATAACTTCTTTTTTTCATTTTCCTGTGCGCTTTTGTTGTTGTTAGGGTACCCGGTACCTGTTACAAGCCATTTTAATCATGTGCCCCCCTTTGAATACAAGAAACAGAAAAATATTTGGTATTTAAAATTAAAAAAAAAGAAAAAAGATTGACATATGGCTATATATCAACTGTACCAGTATAGGAACCCTCATACTTAACAAAGACAAAAGACAACCCAACTTTATATATCGCATATATATAAGCCAAGACCCAGAACAGCAATTACCTTTTTAAGTGCTTCAAGAAAAATGGCAGCCAAATCATCCTCTGATGTTTTCAAAAATGTGATCAGATATTTTACAATCTCTGCCACACGTGTTCCATGCATTACAAAATGAGAAATAATCTCAGGAGCAAGATAATCCTGCGTCAGTAATAGCCAAAATTTTGGCATCAAAAGAAATTTTACCAGAAAATAAATACTTTTGCCCAGAGTTTGGCAATTTTTATAACGTCTCAGATACAAATATAATTTACCTTTGGGACAACATTACTAGTAATCAGTTTGCAAGCAGCAATTATAACAGAATATCTATTTGTCTCCTCTGAATAGTCTTTGGTTACATCTTTGTTTACATCGTCTTCTTCTACCTCATCTGAAAATGGATAGGCAAGCGAAGCAGACTTCTAGAGTTATAAACAACACAAGTACACAATAGAAATGCAAAGGAACAGAGATGCATCAATGAGAGTATTTAGCAGTATTAGATCCAAATTTAATACACAATCAGAACTTCAAATTCAATGTTCAAAGTAAAGACAGCAGCCAATTGAAATACTGTAAGATATTGAGAGTAGTATTACTATCCTTGAAGCGATATATTATCCCGATTATACTTTACAGGATTCTTTCCTTTCTTCTTGATTCTATTCCCTATTCTCGAGGGATTGGTTAGGTCAGATTATATATAGGCTCATTCTATACACAGTGAATATGTACTTTTTTTGTCTCAAGTGTAATAATTTGTTTCGAGTAAAAATTAAGAAACATGAAATGAGTTAGTCCACCATCTTTAGCATATTTGTTGGGGTTACCTGAATCATTAAACTGCAGTTGACAAAGTTCCCAGAACTTCTGGACCTCATATGCATTAGGTTGATATCCCAACCTTTCCAGCTTTGTCTTACAAAACATTGCTGGCCTATGTAAGCACCATGTTTCTGCAAGCAAAGTGCACACCTTTGGAAAGTAACACAATTTCAGACCTCAACATAATATATTTACGCTAGAGAAAGAAAAAGGAAAATGAGTCAGAGTTCTCTTACTCTGCGGGCAAGTTCACTTCCACTTTTACCTCCATTGCTGTCAGTTGCCAAGTTAACAACAAAGTATACAAGTTCTTGTAACAAAGTATCACGCTTAGACAGGAGAGAAGTCATGGATGCAGCAGAAACACTTTTTCCATCTATTATGGACTGCAAACACCAAATCAGATGAAAATACATGTTCTGAAGCAGGAAACCAACAACCTGAATGGGGGAATAAGCATAAAATTAATCAGACATTAATAAGAATGTCACAAGAAACATAACACTTTCTGTGAGCAGCCATTTACACACCTCATCCTCCATATTCCTAAAGTCACGTAGCACCATTACAATGTCTTCATATATGGTATCAATAGGTACATATCTAGACAGTTGGAGTTCATACAACCTTCTCAAATTTACAAGAAGAGAATATTCATCACCCCCATCCTGCAATGTCAACTCTCTATGTTAAGTTTCTCCTACAAGATCTAAAAGCAACAGAAAACATGACATTTGAGTTATGATGAACATACCACTACTTCTTTAATTGCAGATTTCAACTTAGAAATAATTTCATCCTCGAGTTCCTTTAATTTATTTCGAGCAAAATCTTGCAATTCCCCTCGACTTTCGATGCAACAGAAATTAATTGCCTTCATACAAGCTCTCAGAGGGTCCATGTCACCATGCTTAAAAAATGCCTCTTTCATAAGCTGGAGGACAATTTTGAAATTCTGTAAAAGAAAGCATTATTTAGTCTTTCAGAAACATCATAAATAGTCTAAAAGCACCTGCAGGAAAGATTTGCCAACCTGTTCCTGCCTCTTCAAGGAATAAAACTCAAGGTTCATATACAAAACAATCTCGACCAGCAATGACACTTTAGCTTTATCCGAAATAAATTTCCGCAAGAGGGATGGGTAACTCGTCATCATGACAACAGTTATATCCTGTTTATTATTTTCAAATACTTCCTGTCATTTATTGGAGGAGGAGAAGAGATTAGAGTCAGTCACCAAGAATAATGAAACAAACCTTGTAGCAAAACGAATCAATGACCAGTACGGGAACATCGCAAACACCACAACAAAAAGTACTCTTAGAATTATTACTAGTCAAGGATCCAGTTAGCATATTTTCTGTTACCCAAACAATTTAACTATGAATGCCAGGAGTCATTGGAAATTTTCACTTTGTAGGTACAAGTTTAAAAAATTGACAATTCTTATAGAGTTTATGAAACATATTCCTATTCCTATAGAAATACAGCGAAAACAAAATTATATGTACTACATATAAAACCATGGATTGAGAAAACCTTTATTTACCAAAATTAATAAATATTAAACATCAGATGCAAGTCCGCAACACATATGAAATCCCAGTATAAATATTAAAACTAAGAATTCAGGAATTAGGATTTTGATTGAAAAAATGAAAATTAAAGTGATACAACCTTTCTGTGCTTTGAAAATCAAAGCAAGTATGTAATTATGGAACATCACATGCAAGTATGCAACACTCACCAAAACCCAGTATAAAATTGAAAATAAGAACTCGGGAATCAGGATTTAGATTGAAAAAATGAAAATCAAGGTGAGACAAACTTTCTGGGCTTTGCTGTGGTACTGCTTTCTGTTATCAATAGTGGGAACTATTCTCTCTCCAACAGCCTTTTTCACTGATGCACACAGGAGCCGAACCAAGTTTGTTGCACTCTTGTCAGAGATTGATGAATTTTCATCAAGGAGCATGGATATGATGCACTTCCAATCCTACAAACAAAATATTGAGCATTGTCAAGGAACCATACTCAGTCAAGCACAATAGTAAATCTGATTTTAAATCTTTTTTGGTGTTATCCTTTGGTACAATATCGGGAGGGCAACAATGACTAAGCAAACATGTTCAAATTTTACAAGAAATACATTGTGCAGACACCAGAACACTGAGACAAACCCAGTGTTCCAACTCAACTTGCTCATCTGCTAGTTTAGGATATGCAAGGAATGATAATAATTTTAATAGCCAAAACATATTTCAGTAGATAACCAGTGATTGTGAAAATATATAGAAAATTGCTAAGGAAATTACTAAGTCACTGAGGTAACCAAGTACCAACAAAGGCCACCAAATTGTTAAAAGTATTAAAATTAAAGGATTTTTATTTTGACAGTGAAGGAGGAAAACAAAGAGCAGAGACTGAAAATTAAGAAAATAACATTAATTTGTTACACTACAAAATATAGACAAGTTAAGTTCATACCAATAATAGCAATGGGTCTACTAATAACATAATTAATCGTTCTTGTTAGTTGCCTTTTACATAGACTATACAACAATCACAAGCTCTATACAGGCCCCAAGAATGCTTATTTCTTGAATATTCTACTTCCCACAAGGGCTACAGATGCCTTTCTCCTAATGGTCGCATCAATACTTTGTTATGTTTTAGACCAATGAATTGGACCTATATTTTCTGTTGGATATATCAAATTGTTTATTTTCCAAGGTACCATTTTATCTCAGGTTATATTAGGTTATGGACCTATTTACAAATTATAAATTAGCTTAGGGACTTACAAAGTTTATATTATAAGTCATGCCGTGTCATACATTACAAACTGTTGTCTAACAACATTATAACAGAAGGACCTGGTTAGTAAAAATATTAGCTTAAGGACTTCACTACAAATATTATTAGCCTTAAAATTCTCAAATTGTTCCAAGATCTAACCTACAAAGTAATTAATCCTTTCTTTAACCCCCAAAATGGTAGCTGATAGTCAAACAAATTATAGCAATTCTTTTATAACAGATAAATAAGTATGCATTGTTAAGGGGAAAAATATGAGAAATTTAGATGAAAGAGTGTATTAATTTTATGGCTAAGCAGACATTGGGTCTCAAAAGGTTGCCTACTTTTATCCCTCTATTTATAAGCCTCATATTTTTCTCATACAATTACCAAACATATCTAATGCCTGAAAAAGTCAGTCCAGAGATACATAAGCAAATGGCCAAACAACACAAAAGATGAGTTGGTTGAAATGAGAAGGTACCACTTTCTTCCACAATACACCCTCCCTAATATTTACATAAGTTAAATAGGTATACCTTCATAGCTTTCATGTAATCCCACACGTCATCAATAACATAAATTGTCAAAATTGGATCGGGTGGGAACTCATCCAGAATTCGCAACATTCTGTTAAGATGAATCTCAGAAGAATTGTCATTTTCACCTGGAAAGAAAATGTTTTGATCACATGCTTGTCTTGGTCAAAACTAAGTTATCTACTTTAAATAGAAAAATTCATGAATAGACTATAGACCTATTGATCTTGATTGGGAGCTATTAAATTTTTGAGCAATCAGGTGATCATATACTAATGCTCCAATGGCGTGCCTGATTTCTGGAGGATCGTCAATCAGCAAATCATACAAAGGACCCAAGTCATCTTCGGGAATAAGCTGGTGTCTGCATAAATCAAGAAACTAACTCTCGATTTAAATCTTGTGCATGCAAACTTATCAGCAAAAAAGTAATATATCATTGAAAAAGGCTTGAAGTTACCTAAACAGTTGTTTAACAAGGCCAATGGCCTGAACAGCCACAGCAACATCAATGTCATCAGCAAGCTCAATCATCCGGCCAGAAAATCTCTCAGTAAACAAACCAAGGGTCTGTATGTTATCATCCATATCATAAAGATTTTGCAGTGCTCGTATTGAAGCCTTTCTTACACCAGCAATCTACAAATTGGAAGGTGGGGCAAAAGGTAAAGATAGAAACAAGTTTTATAGTACACATGCAAGTTAATAGACAACATTAAAAATTAAAAACTAAAAAAAAAAACTCAACGTGTTCATTACTTTGTCATTCAGTGTCCACCCAAGATATTTCAAGTACAAATCCTGCAAAAAAAGTGACGGGTATGACAGGATCCACGCACCGAGTGATTCAATGCATGACATTCTAATATTGGGGTCAATGTCTCTGTAGCGATGCACAAATAACCTTCAAAAAGCATTACATGGACATGTTAGATGTACAGCCACAAGAACAGAAGAATATAATATTCATGAATCATGATAGACCGCTACTTTCTTTTCTTTTAAAGAAAAATATTCTGTAGTTTCTGTTGAATATTAGCACAAAATCAAAACAGATTCTGTCATACAGCTCATTATGGCTGGATTCAAATTGTGATTAAATAGAAATTAATTGTATTATTATATTCTTACCTTATTTAGGATTAGCATTTATAGGGAGAATAATTACCCCTATTTCTTAGTGTAATTTATATTCTATAAATACTCATGTACTATGTTACAGAAAAATAATAATAGAAAAAGCATATTTCTATATGGTATCAGAGCGACAAGAATCCTTTAGGGTTTTTTTTTTTGCTTCCGCTCTGTTTATCTTTTTTACATCCCACAATGTCTGATACCGAGTCCTCACTTTCACCCAAACATTCCTCACCCGAACCTAAATTAGTCCGAACGTACCATGAAAACCACCCTGTTCAGATCACAACAATTCGGCTGAACGGTGCTAATTATCTTCGATGGTCGCAATCCGTTCGTATGTATCTCAGGGGGAGAGGAAAGATTGGCTACATTACTGGCGACAAAAAACAACCAGACAAGGCAGGTGCAGATTATGATACATGGGATGCTGAAAACTCCATGGTCATGACATGGTTAGTCAACTCCATGGATGAAGAGATAGGTGCAAATTATCTCTGTTATGATACTGCAAAAGAACTTTGGGAAGGTGTCTCCCAAATGTACTCTGATTTGGAAAATCAATCCCAAATCTACGAATTAACTCTCAAATTGGGAGAAATTCGGCAAGGTGAAGATTCAGTCACCAAATACTTCAATTGTCTCAAACGTATTTGGCAAGATTTGGACATTTTCAATGAGTATGAGTGGAAATCACCTGCCGATAGCAAACATTACAAGAAGATGGTGGATGTTAGTCGTGTTTTCAAGTTCCTTGCGGGTCTAAATGTTGATTTTGATGAGGTTCGTGGCCGAATTCTAGGCAGAAATCCTATCCCTCCAATTGGTGAAGTTTTTTCAGAAGTACGTCGCGAAGAGAGTCGTCGGCAAGTGATGCTTGGCAAAAATACAGCAGCTGTCCCTCCACCAGTTGAAGGATCTGCCTTGGCAATTCCCCATGTCAATCGTAAACCACTTCATAATCAACGAGGTGGAGACAAGACTCATTTATTTTGCGATTACTGTGGGCGCAATCGCCACACTCGGGAAACTTGCTACAAACTACATGGGCGACCAAATCATGGCAAGGCTGGTAAGTTTGGTGATCGTCCTATGCCTATGGCCAATGAGGCTGATTCGTCTCCATGTACGAAGGAGCAAATGGATAACCTTCTTAAGTTTCTAAAGTCCAATTCATCTCTTAATATCCCTACTGGAACTGTGGCACAAACAGGTAAGGATTCTTGGGCACTATCTGCTCACAACCACTCTAACCCTTGGATAATAGATTCAGGGGCATCTGAACACATGACTAATTGCTCTCATCTATTCAGTACCTATTTTCCTAGTTCAGGTTTTGAAAAAGTTAGGATAGCTGATGGTAGTTATTCAAGTATTGCAGGCAAAGGCAGCATAAAAATTTCAGAGCAAATCACTTTGCAATCTGTTTTACATGTTCCTAAATTCGCTTGTAATCTTCTATCTGTTCATAAATTGTCTAAGGACACTAATTGTTCTGTTCTTTTTCGTCCCTCTACTTGTGTTTTTCAGGACCAGAACTCGGGGAAGACGATTGGAACTGCTAGAGAGATGAATGGATTGTACTACCTTGATGGAATTCAGTTTGGCAATAAAGCGTTTTTCGGTTCAAACAGTACAAACGCATCTCCTGTTTCAGATCAAATTATGTTATGGCATAAAAGATTAGGTCACCCTAGTTTTTCATATCTTAAGCATTTGTTTCCTATTTTTTCCAAAGAAATAAATTCCTCACAATTTCATTGTGAAGCTTGTCACTTAGCTAAAGATCATCGTGTGTCTTTTAAATCAAAAGCCTATTCTGCTTCTAAACCTTTTTATTTAATTCACAGTGATGTTTGGGGTCCTTCAAAAATTAAAACTATGTCTGGAAAAAAATGGTTTGTAACATTTATTGATGATCATACACGGCTGTGTTGGGTTTATCTCATGGAGAAAAAATCAGAAGTTGAACAAAGATTTCAAGATTTTTTTAACATGATTAACAATCAATTTCAAACTAAGATTGGCATTCTAAGGTCTGACAATGGCACTGAATATTTCAACAAATATTTAAGTACATTCCTTGTAACTAAGGGGATAATTCATCAATCCACTTGTCGCGATACTCCGCAGCAAAATGGTATTGCTGAAAGAAAAAATAGACATCTCCTCGAAGTCACTAGAGCTATTATGTTTTCTATGAATGTACCTAAGTATCTTTGGGGAAATGCTTTATTAACTGCTTGTCACCTCATCAATCGAATGCCATCTCGGGTGTTACAATATGAAAGTCCTGTACAAGTGTTACAAAACAATTTTCCTACATCTCGTATTATTACGGATCTTCCCCTTAAAATTTTTGGTTGTCTTTGTTATGTTTACATCCCCAATGTTTTTCGTTCTAAGTTGGATCCTAAAGCCGAAAAATGTGTTTTTCTTGGCTATGCTTCCAATAAAAAGGGATACAAATGTTTTAACCCAGTTACAAAGAAATTTTTTGAAAGCATGGATGTTCACTTTGTTGAAAATCAACCTTTTTTTAAAAATTCTCTTCAGGGGGAGAGTCAATGTAATAATAAAGAAGATAATTTTTGGGAAACTTTGCCTGCTCTAGATGATATTGTGACTACAAATCACCCAAATGCTAAGATAATAGAATCTGAAACAGGGGGAGAAACACTGATTAAGGATGATAATCCTGAACTTAAAGTGTATGTTCGAAAAAAATTCCACAAAGGTGGTGCAAACCCTATTGTCTCTCCAGTAGAAATCCAATCTGATTTACCAAGTGAAGGTCCTACAGATAATCTGTCTTCTAGTTCTTCATCTGGTAATCCTTCTTACTCATCCAATGATTTATCTGATTTGTCTTTTCCTGATATTAATCTTCCAATTTCTGTGAGAAAAAATATTCCTGACCTCGATGTCCCAATTGCTGAGAGGAAAGGTTCTCGTATGTGCACTAAACATCCTATGTCTAATTACTTGTCATATGACAAACTATCACACACCCATAAGGCATATGTGTCTAGGATTTCTAATTTGTTTGTGCCCAAAACTATTCAGGAAGCATTAAGTGATCCGAATTGGAAATTAGCAGTGAAAGAAGAGATGGATGCTCTAAACAAAAATAACACTTGGAGTATCACTGATCTACCACAAGATAAAAAGGCAGTAGGGTGTAAGTGGGTCTTTACAGTGAAATGCAAGGCTGATGGAAGTGTGGAAAGATACAAAGCGAGATTAGTAGCAAAAGGATTTACTCAAACTCATGGTATTGATTACCAAGAGACTTTTGCCCCAGTTGCTAAGATCAATTCTATCAGAATTCTTCTTTCTCTTGCAGTAAATTTCAACTGGACACTATATCAATATGATGTTAAAAATGCCTTCTTGAATGGTGAATTACATGAAGAAGTATATATGAGTTTACCTCCTGGATTTGAAAAAAATCTTGGAAGAAACAAAGTATGCAGATTGAGAAAATCCCTATATGGATTGAAACAATCGCCAAGGGCCTGGTTTGAGAGATTTGGAAGTGTTGTTAAGAGACACGGTTTCACCCAAAGTCAAGCAGATCACACTATGTTCTTTAAACACTCATCTGAAGGTAAGATTGCTATCTTAATAGTGTATGTTGATGACATTATTATTACAGGAGATGACGTCAAAGCAATTAGTGATCTGAAGAGAAGACTTGAGGCTGAGTTCGATATCAAGGATCTTGGAAAGTTAAAATACTTTCTTGGGATGGAGTTCGCAAGATCTAAAGAAGGTATTTTTCTCAACCAGCGCAAGTACATACTCGATTTACTTGCAGAAACAGGGATGACAGGGTCTAAAGCAGTAGAAACACCAATGGATCCCAATGTGAAACTAAAGTCAGTTGCTGAAGATGAAATAGTAGATAAAGAACGTTATCAACGATTGGCTGGAAGACTAATTTATTTGTCACATACAAGGCCAGATATAGCCTTTGCAGTGAGTGTAATAAGCCAATTTATGCATGCACCAGGTGCAGCCCACTTTGAAGCTATTTTCAGAATATTAAGATATTTGAAAGGTACTCCGGGAAAGGGGCTGATATTCAGAAATAGAGGACATATACAGGTTGAAGCCTATACAGATGCTGATTGGGCAGGTAATATAAATGATAGAAGGTCTACCTCAGGATATTGTACTTTTGTAGGTGGAAATCTAGTTACATGGAGGAGCAAAAAACAAAATGTTGTAGCCAGGAGCAGTGCAGAAGCTGAATTCCGATCTGTGGCCCATGGTTTTTGTGAAGTATTATGGATCAAAAAGTTCATGGAAGAATTGAAGTTCTTTGGCCCAACTCCAATTAAAGTTTACTGCGATAATAAGGCTGCTATTTCTATTGCCCATAATCCTGTCCTACATGACAGGACGAAGCATGTTGAAGTGGACAAGCATTTCATCAAAGAAAAAATTGACAGCGGTGAGATTTGTATGTCCTACATACCTACCAAAAGTCAAGTAGCAGATGTTCTCACAAAGAGTCTTCCAAAGAGACTGTTTGATAACATGGTGTGCAAGCTTGCTATGAACGATATATTCATGCCAGCTTGAGGGGGAGTGTTGAATATTAGCACAAAATCAAAACAGATTCTGTCATACAGCTCATTATGGCTGGATTCAAATTGTGATTAAATAGAAATTAATTGTATTATTATATTCTTACCTTATTTAGGATTAGCATTTATAGGGAGAATAATTACCCCTATTTCTTAGTGTAATTTATATTCTATAAATACTCATGTACTATGTTACAGAAAAATAATAATAGAAAAAGCATATTTCTATAGTTTCACAAACTCCTACCCAGTAAATATCTTGCGCATCATCTCCTCCAACAGTGTTATTTTCTCATGCATTTCAGAAAACCTTTTATTTAGTGACTCCATCCGAGGCCCCTCAGTTAATTTCTTCTTTTCAGCATCCAGTTGTCTTCGAGTAGTCTCTCTTTGTACTCCAAGCATATTAGCAATAGTTATATATGATGTAACCAATGAAAGACCCATCAATGAAGCAACTTGACGATAAACTCTTGGAGGGGTGCTACATAGGTGCACAACCGCACATAAGTCGTCATATATATAAGTATCTTGCCAAAATCAGAATCTTCGGTAGTCACGCTTACCATGAAAGTGCAATGATGTAGTCCATGCACTTGTCAAATAAAACCTGGTCAAACAACGGTCCATGTTGACATTCTCGGACCAAATTATCCCAGAATGATTCTAGATTCTCTTTGAAGCTTTTAAACTCCTTCTTCTTAGAATTTAGATAATCTTCAACTTCACCCTAAAATGTCAAAGGTAAGCATCTGGCTCATAAAAATCAAAGAATAAATGACACCATAAATAACATCACTCTAACGCTAGATTTGTGTTTTTGGAGGGGAGGGTTTAGATCAATTCTTCAAATCTAATGAGTTGTTATATTGCTCTCAAAATTAAAAATATATTAATGATAAACATTCTTTTATCATTCTCTGGAAAATATATGAAAATTTTCTCTATTTTTTCCCTATAGTTCTCTCCCTCCAAAGCCCTTCATTTCCCTCCCCTCCAAACTTGTAAACAGAGTCTAAAATGTCAAAGAAAGGATAAATGTCTACATGCATCTAGATCATTAATTGATCATTGCATCAGGAAACTATAGACTTGAAATGGCATACTTTTATTATTTATTATTATATCAAATATGTAAATGAAAGATACTTGTAAGAAAAAAAAAAGTGTGTCTAGCTTTGCAGTGATGGAATTTGATTTTATTAAATAAATTTTAAAAAGTTGATTTTGGCTGGAAATGAGTTGAATGTTTGAATACATCCACGAAAAAAGTGATATTTATACAATGAAGCATTGATGCGTCAAAATCTCTGCCAAATCGTATCTAATACGCTGCAATATGGATCACAATTGCTTTTGTGAGTGTCTATATTAATAAACTTGAGAATTGATTCTATGTTACCATAGAAGCTAGAAATGTTAGCTTTTACTTAGGATTTTGGGACTGAAATCAATTATAACACTAGAAACCAAACATAACAATTTATGACCAAGTAACATTTGACCAACCAAGTGTGTGATTCAAAGGAACAAATGTGAAACTAAACATAAGCTAAACAGGAGCAAGTTTTATACCCTTTTAGCAGAATTGACAAGATCAACAACAACATCATCAACGGCGATCTCATGCATGAGGTCACTTTTGGCGTGATACTTGACTCCACATGCCTACACCATTTAAATTTTCATTTTGCTGCTATTAGTAGGAGTTCCAAAATTGATAAAGATCTCACCATGAAAATCTTCAAAGCAGTGATGAAATATTAAAATTTCCAAGTTTTTACAATACCTACTCTAGGGCCTCAATTTTCCCCATTAAACTAAAATGCAAAACTCTAACACAGCTTTTGTACCTCAAACAGCATTGTCAAGAGTTCAACCAATGCAGATCGTGGATCCTTTTCATAGCTTTCAACCCAAAGTTTGACCACGTGAGGAATAAGTTTGCCATTACCTTTGATTGCCTCTACGGAAGTAAAAATAATAATACAAGAAATCAACAGCAGACTAATTATCACATAACAAAATCTACAACCGCAGTCAAAACTGTATTCTAAAAATGGAAAAACAAATAACATAGGCTAAAAACTTATTTAAAAATATCCCAAATAGGTAAGCACTGTTGATGAACAAAGAGTTACAAAGTAGTTTCAAGCCTAATTTTCAGGGTTGGAGCCCTAGATACGATCATTAGATTACTAACATTTAGCTACTACAAAAGAATTTAAAAGAAAGGCAGAAAAAAATTATCGCGGAATTTAACCAACCACTATAATATAATAAAAATCAATAACAGATAATCATTAACCTATGAAGCACCGACACCTATGAAAAAGGTGCGTGCGTGTGTATCAGTGTGTCTGACATCTGCACCGACACTTGTAATTATGTTTGATTTATTCATTTTTTCAAATTATGTGTGTATGTGTAAGTGTCGAGATCGTATTTGGAGTGTTTGTGCTTCATAGTCATTAACTAATATTAGTCTTACTAAAAATACTGTAATAGTACCAATGAATCTAACAAAAATAAATATCAGCTCATAATTTCAATCAAGTAGTTGTAATTCAAAACCCTAAATAACTGAAACAATAAGTTAAGTAAGTACTAAAGAGTGTTCAATTTACCAATCAAAGTCTGATCAGTAGGTTTAAGTGAAGCACTCGGAGCTGCTTCATTAATCCGATTTCGCTTAGGTTTCGGAATCGGACGTGGCTCGGAGTAATCTTCATGCGAGCTCTCTCGTTCCTCCATATCATCATCTAGATCCATTTCCCTGTACGTTTGCTTCGGAGGTCTACCCCTCTTCTGCTTGATTTGAAAACAGTAAAACGAAATTAGGTTAAATCACAGCACGATTGAAGAGTAAAAGAGGAAATTATTAGCATGAAGTTGTGAGGAGTGAGAAATGAAACTTACGGGACGACGAGTTGAAGCTTCGGAAGGTGGAGGTTGATCTTCCATGGCTAAGGCTTCTGCAACACGACGCAAGAGCGGTTTCGAAATTGCTTTGAGGGATTAGATAGGAAAGTGGAGAGAGGTGTGAAATAAGCACGCCGAATATGTGTTATGTATCTCCCGCCAAATGATTAATTTATTTTCATTACTCAACCCAAAGTCATTAGTATTTCTGGTTAGACCTCCAAATGACTCTAATTCCTTTTCTAAATTTCCACCATTAATGTTTCTCGTCATTCCTATTTTTCCGTCATTTCTATATGGTCATCATTCCTATTTTTTCAAATTTGTTTTTTTCTTTTTTTTTTTCTCTAACTTGTTTTCTTAAAATTATTATAAATATTATTAAAAGAAACCGAGTAGAATGAAATGAAGCAAATGAATATCATGAATACATGTTTTTTTTATTATTTATGTATTTTATGATAAAATAGAACAATTTTGACTTTCTAATTAAATTGAAGAGTATAGAAAATGAAGAAAAAAAATGTCATTGCTCCATATTCTAACATATTTTAAATAATTTTACAATAAAACATTTCATTCATCTTCATTTTATTTCATCAATTCAAATATAATTTAAGTAAATATATTAATATAACGCTAGGTTATCATAAAATAATAGTTAAAATGTCATGATAAATAGGAAGTCAAGCATCAAATATAAAATATAGTCTCAAAACTAATAATCAACTTGTTTACATTTATCTTTTGATAAAGAAAAGTGAAATCTAAAGTCTCACTAACCATTTAAATAGTTAAATAAAAGTGCCCCAACCATTGATTAATACCATAAGCAAAATTTTTATCATTGTATTAGCCATGGCGGCAATTTAAGATCAAAATTACAAACTTTACAAACTTTATACTATAATATAATTGTGCTTTTCGTCTTTTAATTTGACAGAAAATCATATTGAGTTAAGTTAACCTTACATTTTACAAGCTCTTAAATACAACATATTAAACCAATATGTTTGATTGTCCAATTTATTTAGCATAACACAACAAAAGTTCAATTAATCATGTATAAATTTTCAGAGTTTGATATAACACAAACATTCCTATAATAAATGTTAAGTCGTTTGTTTCGATATGCAACCAATTGAGCACATGTGGTATAAATGTCATAGTGGTCTCAATCTATCAAATTATCTTTTGTAGAGTTTACGTTATTCAACAATCTCTATGCAAACACCAATACTTTTAAAAGTATTAATTTGTTCTAAGTTACATCGTGAAATAGTGTTGACTCACATGCAGACTTTCTCAACAACATCTTGTAAGATTCTTTGAGAAAATACTTATTATTATCGACCGAGTTTTAGTTTCATATCAATCTACTAAAAGTGTTAGAAACAACAAAATGCATTTGTTTATTAACTCTTATTTTCACTATAATAACCCAAATTCCTGATCCCACGGACATAATAATCCATTTTTTCATTCACCCTAACAAATTTATATATTGTCAATCTATACAATCCATTAAACTTAGAGTCTAACAAAAAATACAAATATTAATTAGAGAATTTCTTTTCATTCACACATCTCTACCCTCACTCTAGTTGAGAATATAACAAAAAATACAAATATTAATTGTCCCCAAATTTTTTAAGCTGAACTTTCTAAGATCTAATTGACCCTTAATCATCTATTTCTCTTTTTCACACGAAAAATATCCCCCACTAACTAGAGTCTCTTATAAACTAACTGGAGTCTCTTATAAACCGCTCACCCACCTTCCACCAATCTATCATGAGAAAGTCTCTTATAAATCAATCTCACATATTCAATACCACTTTCTCCAAAATGCTAAGTTAAACATATGAATATTATGAACGTTCAGTCCACCTTGATCACACTCACAACAAATATATTTTACTTAATACGGTGAATTTTGTGATTTCCTTGCTATCCCCCTTCACATAAACATGATTTAAAAAAAAAAATCAATTTTAAAAATGATGCATGGAAAGGCTCTAAAGAAATAAAAGAAATAAACCAAAAGATTAGACACAATATGGTTAACAATAACAACTTGGTCTCCCATTGTTAAATTACGATTTCTTCGTATAGAAAATATTTTGTAAAACCTATCAATTATCATATACTAGAAGGAAAGTCTTATAGAATGTCTTAAATAGGAAGCTAAATAGTTGTAAGGTATTGTTACACTAAAGCAAATTTTATAATTATCGTATCCACGGAGATGGTGAATTTATAGACAAGGTAGCATTAATTTATCATCTTAATAAAAAAAAGTCTTTTTTTGTTGTGGTGCGAAAAAAAGTAAATAACATAAAAGTAAAGTTGGATATGTTAGTGTTAACAGTGAAAATGCTTGTTTAGGGTAGATTTCATCGTTGTGTATCTATCATGCACATTGATATAGGTAAGTAATATTCTCATTTACTCAACGTATAATGCTACGACTTATTAACATCATTTGTATCTCATTTTGGTCTCAATTGCATGAGATTAATGTATTATCCAATATAATAATGTATGTTACTATTAACCAACACAAAGCATTAAATCCCAACCATCGCAAAAGAGCGATACTTTACACCTATCCTGCTGCAATGTGTTTGGATATTGAGCTTATACATATATTTAGTACTCAATAGGTGATTATCTTGAATATAGTAGTGACAAGCACATTTAGATGTCATGTCACGCCATAAAAATATATTTTAGGTTGCAAAGCTAAAACAAACATTAAGAATGAAGAGTCGTCACTAGAAGTCATGACCTAATTATTACATGGATATAATGACTATATCTAACCTTAACAATAGAAATTTTATCCACGCTTACACATGATTAGCGTAAGAACTTGTCTTTTTAAAGAGATTGACTTCAAAAACAATATTTGCCTTATCACATGAGCAATACTTCCGCATTCAGACTTCAAAAATAGTATATGCCACCTAGCCCTATATAACACCCAACGTGCCTATGAATGGGGTCTAGCGAGCCTTAATCCTTCAATGTTTACTTTTGCCTATTTTCTTCTTTTGATTCGTGGTTTTCGAGTTTTTTTAACCTATTTTTGATAAATACAATAAGAAAAGTTCAAAAAGATGTTTCTTTTACTTTTTACAGATAAATCAAGAATTTTATAATAATTACTTGTAAAATAAACCGATAACTATCGACGTAGTTTATATAAATCTTACACTTATCTACTTTCTACAACTTACCCTTTTATTTGTCCTCAAACAAAATTATTAGATGACTCGGAATATGTTGCACGTTAATATTGACTTTTAATATAAGCTCGAAAAATGTTGCATATTAACATTGACCTTTAATACAACATTTTCCTCTCTTTTCTAGTTTCCCCCATCTTCATCGAGCACAAAGATATTTTTCTCTCTTTTCTAGTTTCCCCCATCTTCATCGAGCACAAAGAAAATTCTATCCGGGCACAAAGATAATGTTAGAATTTTGAAGGCATGAAAGTGATACTCGTCCAACTTTTTGTAGAGCAAACTAAAGTTTTAAGTTTGCCCCATCTATTATGTCTACCCGCTATGTTACTTTTTAGATCAAATATAATTTTTTACATTTCAAACCTGCCCTACCCTCAATTTTTTTTTGCTAGACAAACCAAGATTTTATACCTCCCCTTCTTCTATGTCCGCCCATTTCTTTACAGACTTTTTGCGAATCATGCCTAAATGGGGGCCTATATGGGACTGGGACATACATGCCATTTTGTCATCCCTAGGTGTAGATGCGAGTGTGGAGGGAATAATTTCACTATAAATAAATTAGATAAAGTTGGGTATTTAGCTGCATGTCCACCACGATCTATCCTTGTAAAAGCCATCTCAGCAGCTTTGACATAAACATTTCATTTCCAATAGTCTTAATAAATTGCGTTGTCTGCTGTATCATTGCACATAAAATGACAAATTTTCATAAGTGCTATCTCCAATAATTTTAATTAGGAACACACGTGGATCACAATATCAGTTCATTTATGCAGCAATGCCACGAGAAGTAATGTTTATAAGTAACCAACATATAAACATTGTGTACGCAATTGGGAAATATGCACTAAATTAGTCTCAAGGACCAGAACATAAAGCACTAAGCAGCACTAGCCATGGACTCAATAAGGATCTGATAACCTTCTGCTACAGCACTCTGTGTCAGTACACATTCTGTCAATGCAGGAACATCAGCATTCACGTCCAAAACCCTTGATAGTATGAGAAGAAGATGAAAATCTGAAATTCGTTTCACAAATGGAAGATTTTTAGTCCGCTCAAGATGATTCTTCAGTGCCTTTGCAGTCACTTGAGTATTCCGGTTCTCAACGGGAAATGTCGATGAAAGAGGACCCTGCAATTTGGTAAAGGCGCACTAATGAGTTTCACAGTTCTTTTATAATTTACAAAGACTAAGACTTTAAATAATATAACAGGCCAAATTTGTAGCTCAGGTATGGATAACATAACAGGAAGAAAAGGCTTCATATAATATGGCATGTCATATTAGTATTGACTCACATGATATAAAACCAATGAATAAATCATTATTATATCTAACTTTTGTCATGTCAAGAGAACCTTAATTGTTATGCTTCAGTTTTATCGGGTGTGAGGGGAGGTCACCAATTTTCCTTCTTAGTTTCATTCTATCACAAATAGCATTTTTTCAACAGAGCACACATTTGTTCTACTTGGACAAAATAATAACAGTATGTCTCAACAATACAACTATAACAGAAATCTATAAGCATCCAGAAAAAACAAGCACACACATACAGGGCAAAACAAAATCAATATCATAGTACAAAACTTCCACATACTAGACCTTGAGTGAGAAATTAGCTAATGGAACTGCTTAGAATAAAGCTATTGCACTCATTTCATACAACACATTTATGAAAAGCTTCTAAACTAACTGTAGATTCTGCGAAGGATAGAATGAATAACATTCCAAGTATATTAGTAATCATTCTTTCATGACAATTATCAATTCCTATGTTTGTGAAAAAAATCAAAAGCTCACTTGTTATTTAATCATACACCCGTATTTTGAACATTTAAATTCTTCTTCCCCTCATAAGAAGATATATTAAATAACAATAGGCAGCCGACTCCTTAGTCCAAATATCTACACTACATGCAAATCATGTTCGGGAGGCAAACTAGGTTGTAGGAAAAATGATGTAATTTAAAACATTTCCTGATTTCACACGAGGTTGAAGGTTTAAGGGATTCAATCACACTCTTAAGCATGAATGAAGAAGGAACATTTTTCTTGCGCTGAATGGGTCTCCTATGGGTCAAACTTTTGAGATAAATCAGACATAATCCATTGAAAACTGTGTCAAGCCAAAATCTATTACGTTTTGCAAATCATCAATCTAAACAACTAAATTTTTTGTACAGTCTAAACATATACATAACATAGTTACAAGTAAGAGACAAGTCCTGCAATTTGGTCATTTCAATCACCCTGGGTACCTTTCCCTCATAAATTATTAAACCACATATATGGAAGAAAATCACTCAACTCGGTGTTCTGTAATGTCACTACCATCCAAATATCAATTGATGAGCAAAGATGGGAATTGTTCCTTTACTACCTACACAACTAACATGCAATCCATTCATTCTTCCTTAAGAACCCTAGCTCAAAAGAGCTCATTATGCCACTTCTATGCACCCAACATAAAGTGTTTTAGACGAAATGATGATAAAGTTTATACCAATGAAGCACGGACACTCAAAGGATTAGGCGTGTCTTTGTGTAATAAATGTGTTAAGTGGCCGACACTTGTATGACACCTTGGATACATCTACATGAATAATGGACATTTGTTCTAACTTTTTTCTAAAAAAGTTGGAACAAAAAAAAACTATACAAGTAATGTTGAGCATCTGCATTGTGCACATCTTTTCACATGCACACATATTGAACATCTGCGTTGTTAAAGATCTTAAATTTGATTGCATCATTTTTGAGATAGTGATATGAAAAACTAGCATATCTTCAAATTTTTTATACTCAAACAAATAGCTCAATTTAGATGCATCTATAAATTTTGATTTTCAATTTAGATCTATTATAATGATGTTTATATTTAATTTAATTATTATTAGTGTGTCGGTGTGCTATGTATTTGACATTCGCAGTGCCAGCATGAAAGGTGTTCATGCTTCGTAGTTTTATGCTACTATTGGAAGTTTCAGAGGAAATGTTGTGAAAAGGGGCCGGATGGGATGAAATGAAAAAGAATGAACTTCCCATGTTTAGACGGTAATGAGGGGAAAAAGGACAAGGTACAAGCATGCAGGCATAATGCATATGGAGTGAAATAGTAGTAAGCAAGAAGTTTGAAATAAAAGAAAAGGTATCCACTATCCCCACGTTACTCAATTTGGAATGGAATAAAAACAGGGCATTTAAACAAGAACCTTAGTTTTAATTTCGGATCTGCAACGTCAATATATTCTTGAGGTCTCCACAGCAGTATCATGTGTTGCATAGGTACATGTCCGGTACCAAGTATGAGATGCGGCATTTATGTAAAATCCAAGGTAGGAGGCATCAATAATAAAATCTGGCTTATGACATTTATGCGGTCCTTGATTTTGCAGTTTTATTGCATTTATTTTGGGCCAAGCCTATAATTAATCTAAGTTCTTTTAATGAAGCCACGGCTCCAATGAGCATTTATTCTCATATTAAGTATTTGTGGGCCTAGCCCATTATTAACTACCGTAAGTATTTAGAGTGTTATTTTGGCTAATGTTATTTTACAAGCTAAGTCGCAGCCGCAGTCGGCGAGTAAAACTTTGTCACTACATCCTCTTCATCATGTCTTAGAGCAATCTCTTCGTCATGTCGTTTCTGCATCCTCTTTGTCGCGAGTTCTCTCTTTTGGCTACCCAGCCCCACCAAGCCGTAGCAGATATGAGTATCCAGCACTCAGTATGTATCGTAAATGTACATGTGTCTGATACATACCCAATACAGGTACTCCATTTGTATCGTACCTGTGCGTTAGAGATTGTATTGCAACTACAATTGTGGCTTGCATAATTCGGTTGTAGTTCATTGTGGCATAATTACAATCACCACCACAACTACAATTCCAAATTAAAACCTTGGAGTGTTATCTCCCTACAGTTTTTCATTCATCTTCATGTTTAAAGATAGAGAGAGTTTATGATAGAACCACATCTTTACAGCTTATTGAGGCATTCACAACCGTAACAGGACCACAACAATTTGTTTGCAATTCTCAACACCGGCAATCAGAACTGTAACTTTGGGCCCGTTTGTTTTGGCTTTTTTTTTAAATGATTTTTATAGTGTAACATAATTTTGTGTAAAAATTTTTTTATAAACTTTTCATAAAAGTTTCAAATGAAATTTTGGTTAATAGTTATTTTTAAAATGTTATTTTAGATATTTCATCCTTTTACTGAAACTTATTTTGGATATCAAAATTTCAAAAAAAATCACTTAATTTTGAAGCTATTTCAAATAGCTTGTCATAAAAATCATTTTTGAGATACAATTTTTTGAAAATCTTGCGATTTCGACTATGTTTTAAACTTCAATAATCTATGTATATGTGGATGTCGAAATTAGTCTTTTAATTTAAAATAAACAAATTTTAAAAAAATTGTAATATTTTGAAAACAGTCTTATAAAATCCATTTTTATCCCTTTTTGAAAATACAAAGAAAAAATCCACTTTTTAAAGCTGAAACAAACAGGTCCTTTAAAACCTAGGATAAATGGTTTTCCTCACATGTTTTCGCTCACCGTAAATTGTTTAAACCCACAAACATGTAGAAGAACTATTACCTAACAATTCACTCCGAATCAAGAGAAACTATTCTTCTAGAGCTGATCAAAATAGCTTATACCTTTATGTGAAAGCAAATTGATGTGATTTTATCTCATAGGCATATTCTATCCCTTTTTGAAAATACAAAGAAAAAATCCATTTTTAAAGCTGAAACAAACAGGCCCTTTAAAACCTAGGATAAATGGTTTTCCTCACATTTTTTCGCTCATCTTAAATTGTTTAAACCCACAAACATGTAGAAGAACTATTACCTAACAATCCACTCGGAATCAAGAGAAACTATTCTTCTAGAGCTGATCAAAATAGCTTATACCTTTATGTGAAAGCAAATTGATGTAATTTTAACTCATACGCATGTTTTATACATAAGTGCTTATTATGCTGTAGCTTAAACAGGTTGTTTATTCAAATTCCAAACAGGAATACAAGTAAGCCTCGTCATTTAGCTAATAGGGTAAACAGTGGTAAAAGAGAATCAAAATTGACAGTCACAATAACATGGAGCAAGCAAACAAAAGGGGAAAACAACGAAAGGCATAAAAATACCTGATGATCAGCGATTTTGACAACCACCAAGAAGAAATCATTATCAACCTCTTTAGTATCCTTAACACCAACAACCACATCCTTCTTCATTATAGACAACTTAGGATCATGATCCTCCTTAACCTCAGTGTCAAACCAACTTTCCTTAAACAACCTAATACACACATCACTCATCTGAAAAGCTTCAAAATGAACATCAGCACCACCCGCTTCTTCATTCACCTCAAGCTTCACCACCGCAGTAACCCACTCCTTCAAACCACTCTCAGCATGATACTCAGCAGCCTGCAACACTTCCCTATAAGACAAAGTATAATCCTTTTTCGCCTGACTCACACTCTGAGTAAAAATAAAACCAACCCTTCTCATCCCTAACCCCGCAGCAATAGCTTCCACATATTTCTCCTCCTCAGGATCCCTAAAAAACATAAGATTCTCTTCCAAACCTTGTTGCGGCGGTTCATATATAAAATTCACCTCAACCTTCCCTTCCTCAGAAACAGTCCCAAACATAAACCCACCTCTCTTAACCGCAAAAGCCAGTGTCTCATTCACATAGTGCTGAAACGCGTTAGCGCAATCGCGATCAAACGAAACAATTTCACAGTGCGGATTCTCCTGTCGACCGACACGCATCTGTTTCGCGATGAGATCGTCCATGGTCATCTTCTTACCGAAAGAACCGGCTGGACTGAAAGCCGCTGGACCTTGAACCCTACGTTCGCCTTCATAGGCTAAAAACACAATTGAACCGTGGGATAGGTTTAAAGCTGTTAAAGGAGTGTTAGGGTTTGACATATCAGTGAATCGGAGAAGATCTTCACGAGATTTGGCAAGTAAGAGGTTTTGGTTAGTGGATAGGGTTTGATTGTGAGTGGGAATTCGCAATTGTTGTTCGATTATGGATTTGAGTTCGGAGACTTTTGTTCCGTTTGGGTTTTCTAGTTTTACTCTTTCGAGGCCGTCTCGGCTTCGAATTCGGAGCATCATGGTTGTTGTTTGGGTTGTTTTACTGTGATGATCGTCGAGAAGATGGAGATGGAATTTAGGGTTTTTGATGATGGAATGGAATAAAAGAGTTGAGAGGAAAGGATTGCTTGGGTAGCTGTGATGGAAAAATTGTTGCGGAAGAAAAGAAGTTACTTCACCGTCGAGGGAGAAAGGGAAAGTTACTATACTGATGCAACTGTATAGAGATCAACCTGCAGCAGCGTTTGATTTTATGTTACCTCATTATATGGGCCCACACCGAGTCTGAATTGCTATGGGCTCAGTGCCGGGCCTTGAAATTATATTCGCTAATTTTTTAATGTACTCTATATCTTACTTATCCACCACGCGAAAATATTAAAATGTTTCGTAGATTTATATATATTCAACATAGGTCATTTTGAGTGACATTCTATTAATTGAGTTTTTTAATATCGAAAATGCATCTCTAGTATATTTCTGTATATGTACTTTTGTAACTTATACACAACAGTAGTTGAGGCAGAAATCAAAAACTTGTAATTTAACAAAATAAAATTAACATTCATAAAATAAAATAAACATTACAGAGGTGATTTCAACATAAAATGCAACATTACACTTTAATATTTTGGTGGACACTTTAACATCTTCATAATATCTTCGACTGATCTTAAAATCGTCGCTTCTAACTCGAGCGGAACTTTTGTTTTAAAACATAAATATGTATTTCGCATAACCCTTACATCTACATTTGTCTTGAGCTCAAAGTTGTTGAACTCGATCTTCTATCCGTTGTCAATCGACGATGAACGATAATTGAGTTTCACAATTCTTCGATTCTCTCCTTAAGGTAGGAGATTATGAATTTCGTATTTAATATCTGCAAGAGAGGTGTACTCGTTAAGCTTAAAGTTTCACTCGAATGTCGCGATGGAGAAAGAGACATTTGCGACATACTAGATGATGTTTATTTGTGACATTTGAGACATTTTCAATTTGTGTAAAAAAAACACTTTAATTTATAGAAACCGTAGACAAATGTGGACCATTCAAAATTTGACATGCTGATTCTGGAGATGTATCTCCCTGATTCTGCTCCCTATTATCTTGTTCTAGAGATACATCTAAAAAAACTCTCTGTAACAGGTAGAAATCAAAACCGTTGAAATCAAAAGTTTTGTAAACAAAACCTTTTCTTTTACAAATGAACAAAATCCATGGGAAAGTAAAAAATATATTAAAATATTAAGACACAATATGAAAAATTGAATATATTATACTTCATTAATATTGAGGCACAATTATGCACACTTATTTATCCCACCTTTAATCTTCTTCCAAACTCTCTCCACAACTAGCGCGAAAACCTCCTTCTTAGATCTCCCTAAAACAAGAGGTAAACCAAGACATTTCGTATGGCGCTCCACCGTCTTTACTCCCATCCTATTCCGGATCAATCTGCTAGTATCTTCACGCACATTTCGACTAAAGAACGCCTTGGATTTATCAAAGTTCACCACCTGGCCAAAACTCCTTTGATACTCCCTAAGGATCTCCATAACGTAACCTGCTTCAGTCACATTTACATCAAAGTTATAGATTTTTTAAAATTTGTTTGATTGAACACTTGAAGCATTTTAGCCATAATTTTTAAATTTAAAAAAGAATAATGAAAATTTATGATTTATTAAAACATGTTCTTTGATCTCTTTGTAATTTGTACGGGAAAAGCTTGTCTAAGCATCTCTAATTGAAGCATTTGCATCTCTGTTGAAGAAAGATAGCAGCTGATGAGACAAAAATAAAGGAGTTTGAAGTATAATCATATAATGGTGCTAATTGAATGATGTATATATATTGGCAACTTGCATCATAAAACACATCCTTTATTTATTATTACTTGAATTTGAATACTTATAAAGAATCTTGATTTCTTAAACATCACAAGCCAAAACAATTGACGAGAAAAGAATAGAAAATTGTAACTAAATTAAAAGACAGAAAAGTGAAATTAACAAGTGTTAATTAAACCATAAGTTACTTAATTAACAATAGAGCATTTCCTCCTAATCTCTCCATCAGAACCAGAGAGGACACCAATGGCTCCCATCCTCTTCATTGACTGAGCAAACTCAGTGAAGAATTTGTTTTGTGAAACCAATTCATTAACAATGTTTCTTGACTGTTTGGTTGTGAGAAGAGCAGCATCCGATGTGAATAGACCCTTCTTCTGTAAAAGGATAGGATAATAGTCATTGTTGAAGTTTGTTGAACTATTAGGATCCATCTCCACCGTTGTCGTGGTGTCACTTAAACCTTGGCATTTCGTCTTCAAGAATTTGGCATATGTAGGATTCAGAGAAGGATCTTGATCACCTTTTCCTGTGAAGTTGAAAAGCCTGTTGCTGAATAAGTTGCAATGTCCTACTCCAATTGTGTGTGCTCCTAACATACAAAATACAAAAGTTAATCAATGTGTTACAAACACTTTCAAAATCCGCATATGCATCTGACATGACACTGACAGATGTAGTTACATTTATGTATACTTCAAAATATACGTGTCTGGCGCGACACTACACATGTGATTACATTTATGTATGTGTAAGACAAGTTTGTAATGGAGAAGATTTGATTAAGCGTACCTGATAACACGACCAAGTCATGAAGAGTAAGCTTTTTACTAGCAAAGATTTGTCTGAGGGTTGTGATGTTATGGAAAGGTGCTGGGATATTGATGAGTGCTTCAAGGCTTTTGGAGACAGTACCATCTCTTCTACCGGTAAGCACTTCCCACTTTTGTTTATTATTAAACTGTAACAATAAATATGAATGAATGAATCATGATGCCACATGCATAAATAGAAACATAGAAGAATATATATAAATTACTTGGACAGAAACAGCATCTCTAGTAGCCAATGTGAGTATATCAGCACATGAAACAATTCCGGGACATTTTGCTTCCACAGCATCTTTGATATCCTTTACCACATCAAAACCTGATAATGATAAATTCGGAAGAGCATCCTTCTCTGCAGTGTTACTTGCAGTAGACTCTATCAAAACAGAAGCATCACACCCCTGAAACGCAATCATGTATTAGCTTCAAAACAAGCGAATTAATGAAACCCTAATAGAGTATTGGATAAAAAGATATACCCTAACAAAACAGTCATGAAAATGCAATCTTAACAACTTGGCTGGAAGCTCAGGCCTTGAAAAAACATGCTGTTGGGTTATGTTCTTCACAATCTCCTCAGCTTGAGGACATGATTTCTTATAGAAATTCTTCCTGAGACTGCCTCCTTCACTAATCTCAAGGAAGCTGAGAAGCATCATAGAAGCTACAAGGAAGAATCTCATCTTCATGTTTAATATAATTAACCTTTTGTGTGTTTATATTCTATATTGAAATCTTAATTAGCTATAGAGTTGATGATTTAACTTCAATATAGTTGCTCTCTTTTATAGCCATTGCATGTCATATTTCTATAAAAAAAAGCAGCTAAGCATCATACTAATTAAATTGTAAAATAACACTGAAATATAATTTGATGGGATGAACGTGTATACAAAATTACACCTTGCATAATACTACAATGGGTTTAAAACATTACCACAACTGGTCATGATTAGAATGATATTAGCTTATTATGATATTTGTTTCGTCCAGCAAAGTATAAGTTGTTTGATATTTTGAATGTTTGAATATATTGGTATACAGTATATTATGTTAATATGTTAATTTGGTGGTTGTGCAAATAATTCTGTCTGTTATCGTGATTAAAAGTCAATGAGTAAAGTACTGCAAGAAAGTTTAGGAAATATGATTTGAATAATGAAGTCAATCCTTCTATTGTGTCAACGATATTTTAACATTCTATATTCCTATCAGAATTAAGCTTTCAAGTTTGTCTTCTTCAATAGCAGGCCTAAGGTACATGATTTCAGAGGCACCTTTCTTTTATCAAATATTTAAAATTCAAAATTCTCAATCACTTCGTTGGTGAAAAATCTTGATACAGAGGACAAAGTTCACTATGAAATAGATAAAAGACTGATCTGCAAGATTAACACTTATAGTGAGTAAATTATAAAAAAGTGTTGTAAGTTATAGATAGAGCATTCCCCAAATCTCTCGCAAGACTCTTTATAAATGAGGGGCGGCTAGAGATGCCCCATGTTTTTTGGTGTAGAGTAAATGTATGTGGCGTGGATAAGTGCTCGTTTCAAGGTAGTGGGTGCAATGTATCTTAAATACTTTATGACTTTAGATCGATGACTGAGTCTCTCTATTATTAGGCTCTTGGCAGATTAAACAATTTTTTCCAAGGTTTGCAATAGCGTAATGAGAAGTTTTCCAAGACATTGGACCGACATTGGCCTAGGTTTAGATATTCACAAAGAGTTCTTCATTTGCAAAAGTGAAAAAGATTTGGAAAGTCGGAATCAGTGACCTTGAGAACATGCACATTAAATATCAATATCATCATTGAGACGCTTCATAAGATTGTTTTTACATGTGACTCTAGTTCTCCGACGTAAAGTGTGACTCTCCCTTTAGAGTGCTCAAGTATACTCTAGTGTTGTTGTAATCTCGAGCCAAATCTTATCGTTGTTTTTCATTTGCTTCCTTCATTTTGAATCTTTGATTCATCTATATATTTTGCTCCATTATATAAAAGTTATTTCATCCTTCAGAGTGCGATTCATTTCTTCGTTCAAATTGTAACTTTTTCTTTTCTTTGCAAACTATGATTATTCCTTTATTTAATTTCTTTTATTTCTCTTTCTTAATTTATTTTTCTTTCTAAATTTTTTTAATTATTTCAAATATCTTTTTTGGTATATCATTAAAATGAGAAATACCATAAACATTTTATTTCCTTCTGTTTTACCTTTAAATTCAAAAAAATCCAAAACATTAACTATTTTTTTTATTATTCATTTCTATTATCTTAAACTTTAAAAATCAAAAATATTTTTATTCTTTTTCTATTTTATTTTTATTTTATTCTCACATTTGTAAAATCTAAAATATATTTATCTCTTTTATTCTTTTTATTAGGGTTTGTATTTTTTATAAATATGCATTTAATTTATTTATAGAAGACTTAGTTTAATGTTATTATTAATTGTGATATTCCTCTTTGTTTCAAAATTGTTTAAATGTTTAGAACCTTATTGATGACATTGTTGACCTAAAATCCATGATGAATCCATGTCTTGTTCTTTGTTCATGTGTTAATATTGTCTTGTATAAATTTGTTGTGAATGATGATAGTATATTAATAACATGTACAATGTTTGTGCTTGATGATTTATGTTGATCTTACTCTTATTCAAGGCATGTCATATGCATATCCTTACCCATGTATTGATGATATCTTGTTGAAGCATGTCTTGTTTAATGATTGTATCCATACCTTTTGTTCACATGAGGATGTTAGCTTATGTTTAAGTATGCCTTGATCAAATGTATTACTTGTATACCATGTTTATGATTGTTGATTCACGTGCGGATCTTGTCCATACATGAGCCATGCCTTATGTCTTTAAAATGCTCTTTGTTTAGTCATGTGTTCAAAAGTTATGTTGATATGTGAACCATGTTTCCCACACTTAACTTCTTTGTTGAATGTTTGTATATGCATGTTCATCTTGTTCTATTGTTGCCTAATCCAAAGGAATGAATTTCTCGTTGACTTCTTGTCATGTGCATATGCATCATTGTTCTCTTTTGCATCTTTCCTTATTGCATGATCTTTATCCTTAGCATGTTTATCCTTAGGCTAAATAACCCTTAGATATTTCAAGTAGGTTCTCCTTTTCTCAAACTTAAACCTTTTTCAATAGAAACCTTGACATTAGGTCATTGACTTTTTCAAACTTTTTCTTAATAAATGCTTCAAGACATCTTAAGCATATTCAAATCTTTTCACAAGACTAAAAGGCACTAACCTTATTCTTCATGCTAGCTAGTTTTGACAAGATGTATGCTCGGGTGTTGTGTTCGCGTGGAACGTGTCGCACCTCTGCGGAATTGAAGCTCTTCATTCATTCTTTTACCAAGGAGAGGTATTCGGCGAGGTTGTCGTTCTTGGCCTGATATTCTCCCCGTACCTGGGATGCTACGAGGTGAGAGTTAGTAAAGATCTTTACTTCCTTTGCACCAATGTCTTGAGCCAGACGGAGTCCTGCGAGGAACGCTTCGTACTCGGCCTGGTTGTTCGACGTTGGGAACGCCAAGGCGATGAAGACTTATATCAGGATACCCTCTTTGTTTTTCAATATGATGTCCGTTCCACTTCCCGTCGAGCTAGAGGCGCCATCGACAAAGATGGTCCATTTGAGTACCCCGGGGGTCGAAGACTCTATAGAAGCCATCTCCACAACGAAGTCGGCCAGAACTAGAGCCTTGAGGGCTTTTCTGCTCCTATATTGGACTTCGAATTTGGAGAGTTCGAGCGACCATCTGAGCATTCTTCCCGACCTGTCTGGCTGCCCGAGTAGCTATTTGACGAGCTGGTCGGTTCTGACTATGATCGTGTGGGCCAGAAAGTAATGTCATAACCTTCTGGCCGCAATGACGAGGGCCAAAGTGACCTTCTCAATCTGCTGGTATCTGAGCTCAGGCCCTTGGAGGGCTTTTCTCGTGAAGTATATCGGTTTCTGCCCTTCGAGGGTTTCGCGGATTAGTGTTGTATTGACGGCTTCTGTGGCGACAACGAAATATAGGTATAAGGTTTCCCTAACCATGGGTCTCGACAACACTAGCGGCTTCGAGAGAACTTTCTTGAGGTGGAGGAGAGCCTTTTCTCAATCCTCAGTCCATTTGAATGTGGCCACCTTGCGTAGCAGTTTAAAGAAGAGGATGGCATGTTGTGCAGACTTGGCAACGAATCATGACAAAGACGCGAGCATCCCATTTAGTGACTGGATAAACTTCTTTATGTTCGGAGTGGCAAACTCAGAGAAGGCTCTGCGCTTGTCCGGGTTGGCTTATATTCCTCGTTCAGTTAGATAGAAATCGAGGAACTTGCCTGATCGTACGCCGAAGGTGCACTTTTCAGGGTTGAACCTAATCATGCACTGCATAGCGGTGAACGCTGGATGTCTTCGTCGTTTCTGATGGGAGACAGTAAGGGGGAAGCTGACCCCTTGTGGTTTCTGTTTTGGTGTGGGGGGCTCCTTGTCCATGCTCTCGGTTTGAAGGGAACCCCGACGACCTTCTTCTTCAGAGCCGGGGAACAACGCTCTTTCTGGGGAGGCGACCTGTCCCGTTTGTGGGAAACCAACTGTTGAAGTCGATCCAAACAAGGGCGGCACCCCGTCGGCAGGGGAGATGGACTTCGTGAATCCTTGACGAATCGCGTCCTCCGCGGAGGAGGAGATGAACTGATGGAAACCGGACGAGGGTGTCTCTGCGGGGGAGGGTACGGACTGAGGGAAACTGGGCGACGATGTCTCCACGGGGGAGAGCGTGATAGTCGTACCCTCTCGAGCATCCCTATCTGCTCGTTTTGCCCGAAGATCATCAAGTTGGTATGATTAATCACCGTGAACAGATGGCCATGAACTAGAATGGAAGTTGAAGGTTGATTTCACTTTGGTTCTTGAGCTTCTGTGCTTGGACAGGAGAAAGAACGAGGAAGCAGAAGATTCCTACAGAGAGGAATCAATGACCTGCCACACGTCGTGAGTTGTTGCCTTCACCGGAGTTGTGGAGGAGAAAAAGAGGTGTACCTGCAATATGCTCTGATTCTTAAGTAAGTACCAGAACTAGAGAAAGCAATTACATAGAGAAGGTGTGATGAATAGAATACCTGACCCTCTTGGGAAATAGGGTATTTATAATGTGCCCCCAGCGCAAGACTAACGACTACATTGTAGTGGTCCGGATTGCCAAGCCCAACACAAGTAACTGCCAGGGATTACGTGGCATAGTGAAGACCACCACGTGGTCTTCTCCTTGAATCAACTGCACCGTGGTCTTTGGAAGGTGGGCTGACCAACTCTTTTGGAAGTGAATAGTTGCCTGATGACGTGTCCCCGCGTGTGGGGCACGTGGAGAATGTGGGGGAAGCGCGTGGGCTTCCCCGTCAAGAGAGTCTTCTGCCCGACAGATATGCCTTATTGAGGCTCCTGCTCGATAGAGGAAATTGGGCCTTGTTGGGCCTCATTAGCATAGTCTTGGGTTGGACCTACCCGGCAGAAGGGCAGATCCAGGCCCAGTCCATAACACTTTTTATGTAAATGTTTAACAATATTTTCACCCCGATAACTTAAAAGACATCTGTAATCGTTGGACATTTATTTTCAATGCGCTACTTGAAAAGGGTGCTAATGTATGAATTTGGCTTTGATGT